CCTCATGTGGCGAGTCCGGCTCCTTCTGTATCTTAAACACGTGCCCCCTCACTCGGCGATTCCGATTCACCATATGTATTAAGCACGCGCCCGCTTTTGACGATTCCGGTTCCTCATACATGGTAAACACCCCTTCTCATTTGGCGATTATATAATTATATCTAAAACATGCCCCCTCGTCTGGCGATTCCGATTCATCATACATGTTAAACACACCCTCATCTGGCGATTCCGGTTCACCATGTATCTTAAACACAAGCCCTCATGTGGGCTAGACACGCCCCCTAATTCGGCGATTCCGGTTTGTCCCATGTCTCAAACATGCCCCCTCGCTTGCGATTCCGGTTCAACCTGCATCTTAAACATGCCACATTTGGCGACAACAGTTCAGCACATATCTTAAACACGATGCCCCCTTATTTGGTAATTCCGGTTCATCATATAACTTAAGCGCACCCCCCATTTAACGATTCCGGTTTCTCATACATGCTGAACATACCCCTCATTTGGCGATACCGGTTCATCACCTGTGTTAAACACCCCCGCCCCTCATTTGGCGATTTCGGTTCATCATACATCTTACATGCGCCCCCTCATTTGGCGATTCCGGTTCATCATGCATGCTGAACATACCCCTCATTTGGCGATTCCGGCCCACCAAAAATCTTAAACACGCACCCTCAAGTGGCGAGTCCGGTTCAACGCATATCTTCACCACGCCTCTCCCTTCTTTGGTGATTCCGGTTCATCATATATCTTGAACACGCCCTCTCATTTGGCGACAACGGTTCATCGCATACCTCATGCACGCCCCCTCATTTGGCGATAACGGTTCATCATACATGTTAAACACGCCCCACCCTTTATATCTTAAACGCACCCACTGATTTGGCGACATCGGCTCATCAAACATGTTAAACACGCCATCTAGTTTGGCTATAACGGTTCATCAAAATCTTAAACATGCCCCCTCATTTCGCGACACCGGTTGTTTCACATAATGTGCCCCCTCATTTGGCGATTCCGGTTCATCATACATGCTGAACATACCCTCATTTGGCGATTCCGGCTCACCATATATCTTAAACACGCGCTCTCATGCGGCGTTTCCGGTAGGACGTACTGTCCACTTGGGGAACGGCCTCCACACAGTAAACACGCCGCCCCCCTTATTTGGTGATTCCGGTTCATCATATATCTTGAACATGCCCCCTCACCAACATCACATATCTTCAACATGCCCCCTCAATTGGCGATAACGGTTCATCTAATATATGATATATGTTTGTTAAACACACCCTCATTTGGCGATTCCGGTTCATCATACATCCTGAACACACCACTCATTTGGCGATAGCGGCTCACCATATATCTTGAACACGCGCCCTCATGTGGCGAGTCCGGTTCATCACATATCTTAAACGCGCCCCCTCATTTGGCGATTCCGGCTCATCATAGATCTTGACCACGACCCCTCATTTGGCGCTAATTAACAGCTCATCACATGTCTTAAACACGCCCGCCTCCCCAAGTTGGCGATAACGGTTCATCATATATCTTCAACACGCCCCTTCCTGCTCACCATATATCTTTAACAAGCGCCCTGATGTGGCGAGTCCGGTTCACCGCATATTTTCACCAGGGGCCCCTTATTTGGTGATTCCGGCTCATCATTTGGCGATATCGGTCCGTCATATATCTCAAAGACATTCAAACACTGGCGGACCGACTGACCGACTGACTAACAGACCAGCGTGCTCGCGCACCGACCGACGGACTGACAAGTAGGCTCGCGGATCGAGGGACGACTGATCGATTGGCTGGCACTGTCCGACTGACTGACTGACTGCCCGGCGGGCTCGCGGATCGACTGACCGACTTACCGGCTGACTGACTCGGCGCTTGAAGCCATTCAGGCGAAATCAAAACAAAACCCAAAAAAATAAAGAAATACCCAAAAAGAATCCCCAACCATCCAGCCTGCATTTTTCGCTGACAGCCTTCACTTCACGCTCTCACTGTGCTGAGGCGACCACAATGTTTGAGTTCTTCATCTGTTACGCAGCCGTCAAACCTTGACTCTGGCCATCCGGAATCACAAGCCAGGTCTGTGCAGCAGGGCCCGAAAAAGCATTGCCGACAAGCTGCATGTCGCAGCATCACGTTCGAGCATCCTGAACTATGTCAAGAGAAACCATTTTGTGAGCGACATCGCCGAGCCTTCGATTCCGTTTGCCGACAAGTTGCAAGTCCATGGCCACTGGATGCTAGAGGTCCGGTTCGGGCACTGTCTCTGAAAACTGCGAGACCCACGTGCATTTCGAACGTTTGGTCAATCCTAATCTAATATGTGCAAAATACAAAGCTTCCACGGGAAGGAGCAAGAGCTCGCATAAGCTCGCATTTTCTGCCGGACTGTGCAGAATCTAGTAGGCGCAAATGAATCTCAGACATCCTAAGCCAGTCGGTCACCTGAGATAACCAAGCAGACGAGCACAGGCAATGCACTGCAAATGCCACCTGCATGACTACCACAATTACCACGGACTGAGGCTGCAAGCGTCCTTGTCTCCTGATTTTCAGGATGCGTGTCTGCAAAAACAAGCATCTCACGAGAAAATTTCCTTGATGTACTCGGAGGATGCGAACCTGAGACAGAGTCAGACACAGAAAGACTGTAACGAACCAGTCGTGATAGTGCGCGAGGGGCTACAAAGTGCCACAGACATCACAGCAAACAAGAACACAAGCAGAGTGCCCAAGGATATCCCCACGTTGCACTGCGGCAGGGAGCGCTTCCAACCACACCGAGCACCGATGCTTCCACCCACCCTCCCATCATGACCGCAACGCCGCCTGGAGCCTCGCCGTATTTTAATTTTGTCCTAGCCTAGACTCCACAAGTTTTTTTGCGGAGAGCCCGCTTTGCAAGGCACGCCCTGGGCTGTTCTGACAGTACGCGGGATCGTGCGAAAACTTGCTGTAAAGCCGAAGGAGAGAGATGCTAAGTCAATCAGAGTCAATCCGTGACTTCTTGCCGCCGGGCATACGCCACGTCACCGACAAGACAGCTTCCCGAATGACTTCCCGTACCGCAACAGCTCTTTCTTGCTGTGAGTTCAATAATTGGTCTTGCCGACTCTTGAGAAGTTTCTCACATTCAAAACCGCCATCAGTTTGTCGAAAAAGGCCGGGCATTTCTTGTTCCTGAATCTTGCTTGCTGCCGAAAACTCTTTTCTGCTCCGGCAACCTGACGGTCTCTTGCTTTATGTCGGGTCTGTACAAACGATTGATTCTGCATGCTCCTTCGGCCTTCAAGTGTATCAAAGGCGGCATTGCCGATGGATTTCAAGGTGTGTGCGTGCTTGGGTGGGTGGGTGCGGGCGGGCGGCCGATTGGATGTCCGTGGTTCTTCGTTCTTTGATCGGAAACTGATCCTTCATTGCAGAATGTGCTTGGGGAACTCATGATGCATGGATATGGAGGATGACATGGGAAAGATAGCGCTCACGTGACATCCCTCCCATGCACAGACGTTCAGAGACACCAGGGCGGCGCCAGTTCGAATTCAGGCTCCCACAATGCCGCAGAATAAGGCATCGGGTAAGATTATTTATTCATGCACAACCGTCCACCATGACCTTAAGAGACACGATCTCCACAGGGAAGGGGAATGTTCAGCGACACTGGCGTAGCTGCCCCGTAAAGTTGAACACCTCAGTGCTACCGAAAGAAGAAAGCGAGTCGGGCCGCTGTGGCGACTTGCATCACGTGACAGTGGCAATGCTTGATCCAAACATCCGGAAGACTGTCCTTGTGGACAATGTCGCCCCCCTGCCCTACTGCAAGGTCCTGAACTGGAAATCATGACTAGTTCGTCTTTCTCCCGTCTCCTAGTGTCTCACTCAAAAGCCTTCTACTTGCGAGACACCTCTGACAAAGAAACGGCTGTTGTGAACACAGGCTAGCAGTTGTGCCAATGTTCGAGACCAGCCTTCTGGGGATGATCTTCTTGTGCCGTCTCGTTTATGGGGGTCCCGGTGACAACTGGTGTCTGCGAGTTAGCTTACCAGCCTAGGCTCTTCGACCGATGACATGACAACAGAGATCTCTCAAGAATCTTGGCGCAGCCGAGAAACTGCGGCTTTGGCGAGTCTCCGTGCTCTCCTCTGCGGACAGAAGTAGTTTGACAAGCTGTGCCATGGACGTCTAAAGCTCCTCAGTGCGTTTGGATCGACTTGCCCCTCATGAAGGTAGAGCCTGGGCAGCCGACAAGTTGGCAAAAATTCCCATATCAAACACAAACTCATGCAGGTTGTTCACCTAGCTTCACTTGTGCATTAAAGTTTCAGGCGGTGGAAGACATCCTCCACGCCTACTATCAGGCATTACGACATGGGGTCTTTGGCGGTTTTGGCATGTTTTGGCGGTCATGTTTCCCTGATTTCGGCCCACCGTGCGACTTTGACAATGCTTGCGGATTCGCGTTGCACTACTGCAGCTTTTCCCCTTCACTTCCACGGGGTCTGGTTGCCTCTGGAATTGCCACCCAAACACAGACGTTGCGTTCGCCTGTTGCCTGTTTCAGATGTTTCAGGGAGCTCCACGTTGTGAGCCGTTGAATCTGGGTGCCGGGCAGAGAAAGCTTGTGGCAAAGCACGGCGAATTCCTTCGACTCATCCAGGCTGCGAGCTTTGATATTTTGCCTCGCGCAAAGTCTTTTCGGCTCCAAACGAAAGACCCTGCCAGTGATCGGCTACTTGCCGGATTCATTCTTATGAATTCGGAGATACTGTAGACGCTTGATGGCAGAGTGATTTGATGGCGAGCCGACCATTGCATCAGCCGATGAACGCCTAAGCTTCAATCATCTCAACTCGCTTTCCAGCTCTAGCACATGTCGCAATTGAGGTCCTGGCTGCTGTGCATTTACCATGACATCAACCTGCAAGTGCCGCGGTTTACATTACGAGAGGTTCTTTGTTGCACGGCTAACACACTACGCTGAGGCTGGCTCCAGCTCCAACAGCTCCGTTACATTGACCGCATCCTCAGGCACATGGCTTGGCGATCATGACTGGCCGGAATGGCATGTCGGGCCGTTGGGCCTTGCTTGACTCCACCTCTAAGGCTTCACTGAGCAATGGCAAGGCCTGTCAACCATAAACACGGTCATGCAATCTTGACCTCTACTTTCTTCCTGCCTCTGCGTACCGTCCCTCCTCTATCCGCAGATTGGCCTGGCTTGGCTTTGTGGATACTGCATCTCGGCAACAAAACGAGAGATATCCCTCCCGGCTGAACTGAGTCCGTGGCCAAGTGCCGAGCTTGCTTGCCATATAGGGGTGATTGATTGCCTCAACACCACGCAACATCGCCATCGGCATAATTTCATCTTGCAGCGATTATACGGTTGCCTACTGTGTCGAGCAGCAGCTTGTATGCCGCTGAATAGTGCTCGTCGGCTTTCGCATGTTCCTGCAGGGCCAAGGGCATGTAAAAATCTTTTCATGTCGCAGCTTCTCCTTTACGATAAGGAAGCACTCCGCCAAGGAGTCGTGGACCTAGGGCCAGGAAACGGTCACATAACCTTGCGAAGGATACTCGCTTTCCAGTCCTTGCCTTTGCTCTCATCACCAAATCATCTGGCTCTTGCAGAATTTGAAGCTCCAGGGCCTCAGCTTTCACATCCTGGCTCTTGCACAGCTTTGCAACTGGAAGCACTCAAGCCGTGCATGCTCAGCACGGTGCCTCCTCTACCAGCGATCGAGCCAGGTAGAAGGCCTTCATGTCACCATCTCGCCAAGCTCGCCTCAGACAAACCTACCGGTTTGCGCAAGGCTTCCCGAACGAGTCTGGGCCAACCACGCCGCAGCGACTTTCCCAAGGTCCCATTTGTCAAACCAGTCCAGGTCCCCCTGGCATCAACAATGTTGCACAAGGTTCGAGCCTCCGTGCTGCGCAAGACCACACTGCCTTGGAGTGCTTAGACGCCGAAGCCATCCTATCCAATTCGGCGCGACCAGGGTGAGAGCTAGCCAAAAACCGTTCTGGCTCCTGTTGAAGTACATTGCTGCCTCTTCAACTCTTCCCAGGGCTTTCAAGGCCCAAGCCTTGCAGAATGCCGGGTGATGTGACATTCATCGCCAAAACGTCAGCCTGTTGGCACCTGATTCCGGTACAGTGTTGTAAAGAACTCGGGAGCCTGCCAGAACGCAGCGGACCGCATCAAGTCTTGTATGAGAAGCGGTGCAAAAACTGATCCAGATCCCACATCTCCGCACAGGTCCAAACCGAAGCGTGCAGCATTACCTCCCTAGACCTTGCTTCGATCGAGTTGGTGCCTCCTGTGAGTTGTAGGGACCTTGGGGACATGCTGTGCCATTCGTCTCGCTCTACTCCACTCCACTCAAGGCAGCTCAAGAAACTTGTACCAAAACCTCCATCTGGTGCTCACAAGCCCTTATAGCTACATGGAACTTGCGATATACTACTGAGCGACTCGCTGTACATTTCGAGGTCATAGAGCATTTCCTTTGATTGGGAAGCTTGCATGGACAACTCGCACTGTATGCGATATGCACGTGCTACAATGCGCTGACCTGCAGGCTCCCACGACGGCCAAGGAGCCAGGGCTTCCAAGTGTCGGCTTTGCTTCATGCGCACCGTTGAAACCTCTGGCCAGCTCGAAGAAAGAAAGGAAACGACATCCTGGACGGCTATGCTGCAGCATGCTGCAACTCTGAGGCCCTGTACGTGGTTGAGCCACTTGACCATCCAAACACCGCCGCGGTGCGACACGAAGGGACCACATTTTGCCAACACTGCATCCGCTTTATCAAGCTTGTAGTTCTTCATGTACGCACCTACAAGATCCAATGCATTTCCCAGATTCTGACCATTCTGCAATCCGCCGCCGAAACTACCCAGGTCCGTTGCCATTGCAGCCTCTATCTCAGCAACTTTTTCTTCATTGAGATGCTGGCCTTCTTGGAACATTTCATCTGTCCAGTTTCGCTTGAGCAAGGCAGCTTTGTCTCGAAAGGCAACGGCCAGTTTGTCGCGAACCTCAATCATCGGATGATCTGCCTCGTCACCCAGAGCTGACACCGCCGACTGCAAGGACTCGAACAGCTCAGCATCTTCTTCTGAAAGGGCTGTCCAATTAATATCGGGTTGCTCTGTTTTCGACGAAGGCATTGTGGAGGGTTCTACTGCCTTCCACCGGCGCGAAGCGCAATCGACTCCGAATCTTTGGCATCTCACACGCCCGGCTGGCCGGAATGGTCGGAAGCAGCGAAGGACAAGTCTGGAGGCCATGATCGGGCCAGAATGTGGGGGCGGACATCGAGATTACACACATACCCGTGCTTTATGAACCATCTGCATGTCTGATGTGCGAACTCACTACAGCTAATATGGCTTTCTGCTGATCTATGACGCCGGTGCACACCTACTTTAAGCTGATCAAGGTATTTGTGCATTCAAGTGCAAGGCTGCAGGCACCAAGCAGACAGTGCGTCATTCCTCCTGGCCTAGATGTTCCTGGCTGCTTTGTTCACAGTGTTTGTGTGACAGGAGCTGGCAAATGCTAGAGCTTCATGAAACCAGACACGCTTTCCCAGCTGCTTGAATTTGAGGGCCACTGTGTTCCCTTTCGTCTTCCGGCTTTCGGGTACCTTCTTACCGCCCATCGAAGCATAAGTTTAGGGGCAGCGAGAGCCACTGCTGTTGGCGGATCCATGCAGAAGGCGGATGTTGCAGTGTGCACACTGCACTGTTGCACGCTAGACTCGCTCGACCCTGTTTCAGCTCGGCATTGCGGGCTCCAGAGCATTAAGCAACTGATTTAACAGTTGATTTTCAAACGGTTGATAAACGCATCTGGACGCGAGTCCTAACATGAAGTGATGCTCAGCTCCACCCATGTCACCAAACCATTCGCAACCTCTGGGTCTGTCTCGATGATCAAAGTCCAGGTGCCCTTGGCATCTTCCCCCTGTAGCTGCGAAAAGCTGTCGGTGGGCTCCATGCAATCACTGCAGGATCTATCAGTGAAGATCCAGTGCACCTGGGATGTCTGGCTCTCGGGCTCCATCTCCGGTTCCTTGAGCCCAAGACTCTGCGAAGCTGGCCCAAGCAAAGTGACTCCAAGAGTTCCCACGCGGAAGCCAGCCAGGCCCAAGCCCACCTTAGTCAAAAAAAACACTGTAGTACTATAAGTACGGTCATGCTATAATATTATGATGGTAATATATTTTAACACCTCATAGTACTGTAATTCCAGAAAAGCATTACGATAGTATTGTAGTAGTATCATCATGGTAAGTGCATTATGGTGGTCAATAATCGTATCATAATTCGACAATACGAAACAGCACGGATTTTTCCTAAACATATCAAGTGGCCTCGAACTTCGAAATGTTGGCTAGTGTTGTCTCCTCAACAGGGATCGAGATGTTGAAGCTGCCAGCATGCGGCACCTGGTATTCTTCTGGAGTGGCAATGTACCTCAGAACAGACTTGAGAGAACAGGACATCTCCACGACTGTCCGTCTCATCGCGTGTTGCTGTAAAAAGCCGTTTTGGGAAGCGACATGTCGCCATCCGTGGTCATCATGCTGGGAAATTTTGACGCACACCCAAATTTGAGCTCAAGGCTGAGATACTCTTGTAGGCACTTACAACTCACGGTGGCACAGTACTTTTATGTCTTCCGCTGCTCCTTTATCTCAAGTGGTTCTGACACTGTAGCCAGCTAGCTTTCTCTGCGTGATAGAGCAAACAAGTGGGCCTTACTGAAACGAAATCCCGTTTCTGGAACGGAAGGGGAGTTTATCTGGGAGAGGAGAGTGGAGGGGAGGGAAAATGACTCTGACAATAAGCAGCACAAGTCTGGGTTGCAAGCGCATGGGAGCGCTAGGGTCTCGGCACGTCTTTGAAAAATCCTCCGCAACAAGCCCGTTGTTTGGTTCCGCGGCTCGCCCAAGTTGAGATTGCGCTGGAAGCTACAGCGACGTTGCCCTCATGGCCTTCGAGGATATCACCCAACTTTGCCCACCGCTGACAGAAGGCATCACACAGAGCCAGGCAACGTTCCCGTCTGCAGCCGAAGCCGTCCGAACCCTTCTCACGGCCACTCTGAATTTCAAGCTAGGCACGGCCTGGAACAGTAATTGCAGGAAATCGACTGAGCAGCAAGACAGCCACAGAGAGACTCTGGAGCTTTGAATCTTGAGTAACAGCACACATGCTCACACTCCTCTGCATCAAGCTCCGGATCGTATTCCGGCTCCTGTTCCGGATGCGGATCCTCTGCTGGTTCCGGGTCATCCTCATCCCGCCCTCGGCCCAGCTGGAGAGCAGAAGACACATCGGCCTCGCAGCCGTCCGCCTCACAGCCGTCAAGCTCCGTCCCTTTCACGACGGGAAGAAGCAGGAGACAACTCCAGACGGCAACAGCAGCAAGGCGCGCCATGGCTTACGTTTCAGTTTGGAGCCTGGGTCTACCACAGCGACGGAAAGAAGGCCCAAGATCAAGATCATCCAACCCAAGATCATCCAACCGTTTGCTCGTGCTACTTGCGCGACTTCTGCGACTCGCTGATGCAGCGCTGATGCAGCTCGCCAGCCTTTCTCCTGCCCTTCCTCCACGTCTTAGGCTGGGAAACAGGCACGCATCTTGGTTCATCTGGCCATGTGAGCTTATTACACCCAAGCAACCTCTTCCCGACACCCTCCCCAAGCACCGCTTGCTGGCGCAGCCGTGTCATGGAATGCACGCAAGCGATACCAAATGGAGAACAGGGCAGGCGTAAGAAATAAGCCCGAACGTGCGAGGATCCAGGTGGGCCGTCCGTGCCTAAACCTCCAAAATCACGGGGCTGTAAGATTTGAGAATATGAACAGAAAGCATCTCGTGTGATACTTCAGCATGTCACAGCAACGCAGGAGTATCGTTTGCTGTGGTTTGCGTCTCCGAAAGAGAACGGAGGTCCTGTGCTGGGGCCGGCTACGAAGCACTTCGGGGTATGGATCTAATGGAATCTGAACATAAGGGATCTTGGTCAGAGCCGGGCCGAGCCACCTTTCATGAACTCCTAGCTCCCCTGAATGCCAATCTCTGTCTAGAGTCTAAAAGCTTTAAAGTGGTCACCTAGTTGCCATTAGTTGCCTATGGTGCAGACCCCACCAGCCGAGGACCAAATACGTCAATCTTCAGGAACCCTTTTCCGCTCAAAATCAGCCTGCTCCGCAACCTGGGAGACCCGTCACTCACAACCTTCCGTATCGGGTGCTGGCTTTCGAAGCGTGGTGGAGCTCGAGGGCGATCAGCCTTCGGTTGTTCTGTCACCAAACCTGGACTAGAAGTAGTCTTTGCCGAAATAGCCTGGGCCTACAGTACGAAAAGCATCGGCAACGCTAGCACTCCCAGGGCCATGACTGCTTCTTGGTGATCTCACCACTATGCAGACAACGGCTGTGCCAGCCACTTCCAGCAAAGTCTGGCGAATGACTTAGGCATCCGTGGAAGTCATAGGAACATCCCGAACATCAAGAGGGCGAGCATCATCGCAGAACGTGGCCAAGCACTGCAGGACCCGCATGGCTGACATGACCCGTCCTGTAACTCACGAATCAAACTGTCCCGTCCAGGCTCCTCCATCGAGCTTCATCTTTGGGACTTCTGATGAGATGTCACCAAATGCCAAATGTCTGAGTGCTTCCGGCCGGGATCCGGAACGATTCTCGGCAGGGGCGGAGTCCGGGTCCTCATGGCTTCATCTGCCGCCCTCATGAGCAAGCCCCTTTGAAACCTCTGCCTGCCTGCTTTGCATGGCTGGCTTGGTGCTCGAAGCGTTTGAGAATCAAGGTGCGAAGACATGTTTGCGAAGCTTGCAAACCGCTGATCGTGTTTATTTGCAACTGGAACTCAAATGGTCTGGCACTGAACCCAGTTCAAGCCTGCCTTTTCTCTATTCTTCGGACTCACCAAAGATTGATGCAAACAACGACTTGGGAGGACGTGTCAGTTCGCCACCGGGAGCAACCTGAGCATGGCAGGACCGAAAAACAGGCTGGACGACTCGACAGGGGTTCATCCTGATGCTGCTGATGCTGTCATCACCATCAACATTCAGATGCACTCAGTGTCGTCCAAGCTTGAAGCATTGGCATGTGGCACTGGGTCTGGATCACTGGGTCCAGTTGATGACGAGGCCTTAAGCGAAGGACGAAAACCACTTCAGCTGGTCGAATCGAGGCCGAGGCCGAGGCCTTCGCGTGGTCTTTGCCTTTCACCTGACGACCAAAAACATCTGAGTCTTGGCCCTGCCTGGAGGGCCCCCTGCCCGGCCCTGCTGGCCTGCTCGTTGTACTTTTTTTGCTTGGGCGGCAGGGCCGCGGGAGCGTGGTCACTGAATCCGTCAGGTTTGGGTTCCGGCCTTGGTGTGGCTTGGCATCCTCATAATCGTGCCATGCACAACGAAGTTTGGCAGCGCACACACCCCACCGCCTCACGAAGCCAGTTCGTCCAATGGCATGTTGCGACCACTTCTGCCCCCCCGATTCCGCACACAGCCTGCATAGTAGTTTGTCCGGCGTCCAAGGCACCGCTGTCCTGATCATGCCAGAATGCTGCCGGCGGCTTCGACGCTCCGGTCTCGCCAACCTGCCTTCGCAACAGCGGTGCCTGGCTGGAGGCCTGAAACAGAAAAGCCGCACTTGTAGCATGTGCAGCATGTCTGTGGTCGCTTGTGCAGCCCCTCACCGCTTGTCGGGGGGTCAGTTGGGGGCTTGCCATGGCTTCTCCCTCTTCCGCTGCCACCTTCTCTTCGAGTGCCTTCACAATATCTGCCTCAGGATGCTGTTGCCTGACACACAGGGCACTGCTTGTGCATGGCACTCCCCCGAATCACGCCTGAACGAACGGTAGACCCGGCCGAACTCGGCAAACTCTACATCACGTTCCACCTGGTGTAAGCTCAAATGGGACAATGGCAGCATGCAGCCGCTCTGCGCCTGCGAGTCCTTCAGGGCTTCGGAAACCGCAGCCTTGCCCTCCATCGCTAAACAGAACCTCAGCCCAAATGACAGAAAAGTTGAGTAAAGGGATGAAGGGATTTGAATGACTTAGTGATCCGCCGCACGCGTAACGCCTTACGGTTTAGCCGCAACCCCTACTACCGAGATTAAGCGCACCTGGCAGGAGTTGCTGATCCAAAGGGTAGCGAGGGCATCAACGCCCCTCTCCCCAAGCCCTTGAAGGCTTCCTCTCAATGGAGTGTGGCGCTGCTCCGGCTTGGTGATCAGGGCCTTGTTCCCGAGATGCTTCAAGCCAAATGGAGTGTCGGAGGCGCAGGGGTCCAGCCGATGGAGCCTACGCTGAACGGGATGCACAGTCTACCACTGTAGTCTTCCCGCCCTCCTGCAAAGACTAGGTTCTCCAACGTGTGTCTGGCTGGCACCAATGGGGTGCGTTCACTGACCGGAATCGCTGCAGGCCCGCGACCGTGTGCCACGTCTGCGTTGGGAACCGGCTTCGTGCACGCAAACCACATCTTCAACGGTGTTCGATGGCCCGGCTTCCTTGATCCAAGTATCGAATGAAGAAGGCATGTACAGTTTTATCCAGACTGGGTCGAGGAGCTCGAATGTCGGAGTCTTCTTAATTGTGGTTCTGTGATGCGGAAATTTGTTTTTGCGAATTGATGCACCAAGGAAGATGCGATTGATGGATGCCCACACAATCTCAAATCTGCGGTAATCAGGCACTGGCTTGGCATAACGCTGCTGCTTGCCTTGGAAGGCGACAACAAGCCCTTGAATGTGCCTGACCATGCTTAGCCAACATTGGGCTGGGATATACATTGTCTTAGCCAGGCACTCGGATCGTTCTTGAAAGGTTCGTGGCGGGCGGCTGCTCCATCCATGTCCTGTCGGGCTCGACAATGGACAACAAGCAGGACAGTCCGAGATGTCTGATGTCCTGCGTCTGGCCCATGACAAAGTGGCGGCCAAGAGCATTGAGCAAGTTCTGCTTGTGCTGGTCGGGTACCCGCCACCTAGCGTCTTCTCAACATGCAGCTTGCACATCTTACAACTGCCGAGGGCGGGGCAAAGGAGCAGCAGACCGCTGCATGCACGCCTCGTCAGCCTGCAGGGTGTTCTTTACTGTTGTCCGACACTGCTTCGCGTTGAGAAACCCTGTCCAGTTCAGAAACTTCTGTGGACACTTCTAACACGAATACGAATGTCGGTTGGAACACTGGGACCTCAGGAGGAGCTGGCGGTGCCGCAATGTCATTTTCGGGCGACGGTTCTGCCTGTTGCACTTTTGAGCGATCTTTGGAGCAGATGATTTTGTGCAGGTCGCACACGCGATTGCTCGCCCAACAGCTCAGCACGATATCGCGGATCCAAAAGCCGCTGTTGGCCATGTCTTAGAGCAGAGATCGCCATGACTTGGACTCAATCCGCTCCGACCGGGTCGTGGGCTTTTCTCGAAACTCCATGAGCTTCCGGTGTTCCATGCTGCCCTCTTCTGCTTCCTTCACGGCGGGCAGATCACTTGTGCAGTCAGCTCACTTTTCCATGCACCTGAAGTGGTGAAATCTCAATGAGATGAACGCCTTTGTAGCCTCGAGGCCTCAGGCAAAACATCAGGCAGAAACACCTCCCTGTCAAGTGTGAAGGATGTTGATCCGGGAGTCAGGCACGGGTGGCGGATGCCAGTGCCTGAGATCCTGTGACTCCTCAGGTTTGTGCATCTGGCTACTGCATGCCATCTCTGCAGGCGTTAAGTCCGTCCTTGTCCTGACCACCCGCACGTACAAAGCCCGGAACGTCGCCAGTCTGAGAACAGGGCGCAATCTTGCCACACTTACAACAACCAGCAGAGTTGCCTGCGGCATCGACCTTACACATGTGTCAAGACGCCGGTGGGCGGAGAAACACAGCGTCAGAAAAACTAAGACGCCAGCGCGGCAGGCTTAACGTCACTCAGGGCAGCATGTGCAGTCTCCTCCACTTCCTGTGCTGGCCGTGAAATTAGTGAGGCCCTTGGGATCCACGAGCAACCGAAAACCCCTGCAAAGCTCCCGGCCTCATCCCTCAAAGAAGGATGGTAGTGAGAATGCTTGTCCGTCTCATGATCATACACCTGACAGCATATGACAGCATGCAAATCGAAGTCGAAGCAAAGCAGCGCAAAAAGTGATGGCCTCTTCCCATGCCTGGGTCACAAGCACAAAAAGCCATCAAGACAAACTGAAAGAGACGTTATGTTAAGGTGACCTGTTTAACACACGCACACCTTTTCAATGGTTGCAATGCACACACCGCCAGGCAGCAGAGGGTGGGAGATTTTGTGTGCAGCAAAACGTGTCACACTCACTTAACACCAGTGTCTTCGCTGCATGCGCTTGTCGAGTGGATGGAACGCGCAAGCATCCCTCCCTGAGGAACTGGCATCGTACTCATCTTGATCAAGGACTCCGGTGCCAAACTGTGCGTATCCGATGCCCTGATGCAGATTCAAGCAAGCGAACTTCCTCCACAAGCACGCAAGCCCCTGCCTGTTTCGCCGCCAGATTCTTCCCACGTGCACTCGACATGTAGAGCCGTCGACTGTTGGGAACGCCTCAAGGATCAAGCAGGCACTGATTCGAATACCAGTACATCATGGACTTTATTGCAGCAGAAGGGCTGTTTGCCGAACAAAACCTCGAGCCCAAAGTGTAGCCGATGCCATGGAGATCATTCTTACCTGGAGCGCTCTGGCACGCCATTCGAAGTTTGTGTGGCTCTAGGCCAAGCAGGTCGGCTGTTCTTCGCCACAACCTCTCCAACTCCGCTTCCAGAGCCGAGCTGTTGGCCACCTAAACATATCAGGCAACGATCTGGCGGAAGCTCAACACACACAGGATGCCTTAGGATTGGACTTGCGAAACATTCTTTAAAGTCGCAGCCAACCTGCACTTGCACTGAAAAGGCTTTCCCGATGTGGAACGTGCCCGGCATCCGCACCTCTTGCCAGTTTGCTGGGGCCATTCCACTCCTCAGAATCAAAGAGCGTGGAAGCAGCACGACTGTAATTAGTGCAAGTGCTTGCCATGGCTTTTCATGGCTTGTCTGAGCAGCCGTCCGAAGGCCTCAGAGGGAGCCTGGTAGCCTGTCACATGTCGTCTCTAGCTCGGCACGGTCTTCAATCCGCGCCGCCTGGAGGAGGTCGCGCACAGCCATAGGACCTGTAGGCTCACGGCAGTACGTGCAACGCTCTCCCCCCAATCAAGCTGAGCTCTCCACTTCTTGGGTTTGACACTGGAAATTTCGATGGCAGGCTCGGGCAGTGCAGTCTCAAATGGGGTCACGAGACTGCTGGCGCGCCTGAAGCAGAGTACTGCACTACAAATGTATGTGTGTGTGTGTGCGTGTGTGTGTGCCTGTGTGTGTGCCTGTGTGTGTGTGTGCCTCTGTGTGTGTGCCTGCGTGTGTGTGTGTGTGTGTGTGTCTGTCTGTCTCTGTGTGTGTGTGTGTGTCTGTGTGTGTGTCGGTGTGTGTCTGTGTGTATCTGTGTGTGTCTGTGTGTGTCT